TAATTGTTTCAGCGCCAGCACAGAGTTCCTGTTGTAAACAGGACGCTGTCACCTCTGGCCGCTGCCTTGGCGGCCAAATTTCTTCTGACTAGCCGAGAGTCCTGTCACAGAAAGGTGGGCATTTATATTGCGAAGTCAGTCGCAAAACATCAGTTTCCAAACATCAGACATATAACAGAAGTGAATGTAAACAGACTTTGGACCAATATTTTAGGAGCCTTTTGTCAAAAATTGGCTTCTCAGCTGACAACCAAGCTCTAGGAGGCAGCCTGGCTGAGTGAAATCGGGGAGAGCAAATGCATTAACCCAACTTAAGGCAAACCTAGCATAGATGCAGAGGAACTTGCTTACCAGAGTTAGCAGTGAAGTCAAAACAATCATTTGCACTTCAGAGGTTTCAGCACAGTCTTTGGGAGCAGAACAGCCTGCAGTCCCTACAGTGGATCTGACCACTGAGCAGCTCCTTATTTAGAATTAGCCTGCAAATAATCCAGGTTTCATCTCTTCTTGCTTTTCACCTTTTCCATAGGGAGTAACTGCCCCTTTCCTCTCAGGCACAGGAGTGAACAAGCACTTACCACAAGTATAAACCGTTCTGTCTCCCTCTGGAGCAGCCAGACTTGCTGCTTGTTTAGATGAAATCATCAAAGTCAAACCTGAAATCAAAGGCAAGAAGGTGCCGTTGAATTTTAAAGCGACACTTACAACAGGTTCCAGATTATTTCCTACTCTTCTTGAAACAGAAAAGCAACTTAGCTTTTAACCACTTTGGTGCACTAAGCAGATGTTGCCAGCTGTTTCTTAAATCAGTTCCTCTAGTCCACCACGTACTTAGGTCATCTTCTACCATCATATCACCCATTTTAAGCATTTCTGTAGATCTTCTCAGGCCTCCCTCCACCTGGTTAATTTATCTGTATAAAAATAACTGAAAACAACAGACACGATCACTCACTCTTCTCACCAATACAGGATTGCTCTTACAAGGATGTTTTTAGGCTGTTTTTTGTTTAACTACTATTAAAGAGCCCATTATTAAGATGCTCTGACCTTTCTCTTGGGAACTTTGAACACATCCAAGCACAAACCACTGTCACAGCTTTGCTAACTTCCACTTCAAGTGAGAGCAGGGAGAACGAAGGGCAGATTTTGGCCCTTAATGTTCTGTTTGAGCGTTCCAGCAACGAGAACGTCTAGAGCAGCGGGGACGGATTGATGCCAATCCCCACAGAACTGGTGAGGATTTGGTGCTGAGCTCCCACTAGGCCTCTTTCGAACTCCTAGGATCAAATCTTCCATAAAGTTCCCGGGCCAGCTCCTAATCTCAGTTACATCGTGTAAATCTAAGCTCTCACCAGTCACGTCAGTGGAGTTGCTCCAGATTTACTGCCCAGCTCCATATTAGAATTTGGCTCGCGAGCGACTGAGGGCTGGCAAAGACTTGACGGATGACCCGCGATACCAGGTTTCTCAATGGAATTCCTTCCAGTCTTGCCATATTCATTTTGAATTCCTCCTGTGACAGGCTGCGCCTCACTATCCCTGCGGAAGAGACTATTCCATGCCACACCGGAGCACTGACTTGCACATTTCCCACTACCGACTGCTTTGGTTCTTTACTAGCTGTCTTTAGTAGGAGCGTTGTACTGCCGCGTCTCTCTTCTCTCGGCAGGCTACCCAATTTGAGCTCCCAGCTGACTTCCAATCAGCTCTTTGCAGTTGCGGTCCTGTTTTTGATTCTCTTTCTCAGAGAAAAAGAGTATCAAATACCTAAATAACACAAAAACTTCCAGGCTTGAGTTTAGTATGCCTGTATGTAAAGCTGGTGTGACCATCTTCCCTTTAAACCAGCATCTCTGTGGGAAAAAAGAGGTATTCCCTGTGAACGCTACCGCACTGCCAATTCCTAGCCAGTGTCTCACTTCTCAGTCCTAGGCTTCTTAAACGGGCCTGACACCAGCCAAGCATCCATCCAGCGATTCATAGCACGCTACGTATCTTCCCCATACATATCACCTTTCTTCTCATTGAATTAAACCCACGTTCTGCAGATAAACTTGCTCTTGAAGCGTGCAGTTTAATACTTAAGGTAGTTGTTCCATGTAACATACTTTTCAATGAAGCAAAAGAAAAAACAGCAGTACCATCCTACGCGAAACAATCCTCTAAGTGAAGCAAGTTTAGACCAATGCTGAAATAAGATGACGACGTTAGAATCCATTGCTCTCAGCCGCAGAGCCGCTTATTAACATACTGCTTGTTTAAATCCTATTTACACATCAATAGGCATTCATTATAAAAAATAATGAGACTTTCTTTAATCGTCTGTGCTCTGAGAAAACACAAGCTCACTCTTTAAGGAAACTAAGCCAGCATCTACAATCCAGTGAGGTCTCGGAGATCTTAGTCACTGGCATCAAACATCTGGGCCCGCTATTTCAGAGAGAACACAAGCACGCGCAAACACACTTTCATTTTATAATTACATGGGCTAGTTGTGGACATCATCGAAGGGACTCCACTGAGTGACAAGACGGAGAGTAGTTTAGCACAGGTTGCCATCTTCCTCCAGAAATGCTGAACTGATGGTGCATCGGGCAAAAGAGAGGGAAGATGCTAAACCTGGAAGAGAAAGGCCCCTTCCTCCAATGGGACACACTGTACAAGCACCCATGTAAAGACTGCGAGAAAAAAAAGAGTGGCCCCTATACAACATCAGGGCAATATTAATAGCCTTAGGCATCATTGCCTTGGCTTCCTGCCACCTGCCCACCCCACACGAAGCTGTTCACCACCACAGCCCAGAAAGCTACAGCCTCTACTTGATGTCATTAGTCAAAGGGGAGGACTTGCCTGTCTATAGAAGGGCTGAGGAGATTATGCCATGCCAAAGAGCGAGCCACCAGCTTGTCACAGATGCGACGTACCCTGGGTTTTACACCCTGGCCCGCCAGCAAAAGGTCAGTGCAGATGTGCTGATACGGGAAGGTAGTTAAAGGAACACTGTACAAGGTACAGATTGCCTTATCAAGAAGAATAGGTGCTCAGCTAACAGTGAGCTTTCCAGGAATTAGAACATGGAATAACACGGACATCTAGGCCAATAAGGTTAGTGGTCTGTCACCAGGGTCAGAGGTTCTAGTTTTCAAAGTGAATTACACTTGCATACTTAGGCATTTAAAACCCCTAACTCCCACGAAACTCAGCTGCAAAGAGACACACAAAGAGCTTATGGATCTGGTCCCAATTGACTACCGGATTCAAGTTCTGCTGAAGTGCCCATTTTTCCTTCCACAGAAGTACATTAAATGGAATTAAAATAAAAATCTCCTGCTACATCTTACTGTTTCCTCTTAGCATTGCAGGAATCCAGTGCATGAAGTTATCGGGATATTCTAAGGGGTACGGGTACAAGATGGGGCAGACCTTTACAGGGGACTCTGACCATGCCTGGAATGCTGTCTATCTTGATGGAAGGTGGCATTTACTCGACAGCACCTGGGGAAGTGGTTCTGTTGATGATTCTTTCAGCAAGTTCACCTTCAGGTAATGGACTAATCTCTGTGTTAATACACAAGCCTACCACAAACAAAGGCAGAAGGAAAGCTGATGGGTGAAGACAAAGAGGCACCAAACAGTGCCAAGTTCTAGGCCCCACAGCAAGACCTAAAGCCCTGAGCAAGGCATCCAGGCCGCCTACACAGGGGATGGAGGGTCTTCCTGTAGAAAGGGAATGACCCTCCGCAGGAAACGTAACTGCTAGAAGCAGTTTTGTGTATCACAGCTTCAGTAGGGTTAGGCACTCTACGCAAGACTGCGTGGCACTTGATTCACAGCTTAAAGCTGCCTAAGAAGGGTCGCCCCACACCTAAACAATAAGCAGAGCCTTTCTGCAGGAAATGGAAGACCAGAGGTCCCACAGATTCTCACCAGACCAAAACACTCCAACTTCCTCCAGCTGAAACCACTACCGCTTAGCAGCAGCAGAACTAGCTGTTTATAGCTACTCCATTTCCTTTATCCTCTTCCTTCTTCTTCCAGGTACAATGAGTTTTATTTTCTGACCCACCCAGCTCTATTCGTTAACAATCACTTCCCAGACAACAGTAACTGGCAGCTTCTTAAACCAGCTCTGGCACTGAAAGATTTCGAGAACAATATGCTGCACAACAGTAACTTCTACACGATGGGCCTGCTGGCTGCACACCCAGAGACAGGGGTCATCCAAACAGGTAACAACCTGCGGGGGGG